CTGAGACCCGTGTACAGGATTCTTGCACGACGCTACGGTTGATTTCAACGTCGGCGAGTTCCGATGGTATTTTTATATTGCACCTACTTGTATACCCAACAGCTGAACCCGAGGGCCATGCCTGTGTGTGGGTTAAGTAAAACGCATGTGATAAGCTTAAGCCACTCGATTTGATCCCTGCCAACAGCCGGGTATGTGTGAATCGAATAAAAATGGTATGATCGTCCGGCCGCGGAGACAGCAGACGTTGTTTGCTTGTTGTTATAGCGTATGTTCCCACAGGCTGCAGTCCAGACACAGTCAAAGATGTGTTTTACTGTCAACTCTGCAACCTTCCAAGTAAAGGCGCTGCACGGTCGTCGTAGTGATTACCGGAGACCTAAACGCACAGGTTGGCATACTTGAGGTTGATAAACGCGGAGTCGGGGGTCAACATGTCCACAGAAATTACAGAACGGGCAGCGGTGAATGCTTACTTCGGCTCTGCGCTGATCATGACCTATTTCTCTCAAGTATCAACTTCCGGTGACCCTAGCAACAACGCGCCGCTTAGAGACCCCCTTACCATACCAATTATGAAGGCGAATTGAGTACGTCGTCATCGGTTACTGTTAGTGGGGGTGCCTAAAGGATTGCAAAGCAATCTTAGGTACCGATTTCACCTCGGATCGTGCGCTCAGGTGTGCTAAGGTAGCTCTATGTTTTGTTGGTACCGCAGCAACGTCGCCGGAAACGGCTTGGCGCAGCTAATCTCTCTGCTCCATCTATCTGAACGACTTTCGTGATGCCTTGGCCTCAAGAGTACCTTGGGCTCAGACATTGTGGCCCACTGGGCGCACATCAGTAGGGTCATGCACAAATCTGCGACCCTGAGCTGTGAGTGCACTAGTAGTCCCGTCAATAACCGGATCTCCGCACCCTCTCTCTAGCTTCTCGAACCCCATCGAGCAATTCCCGCAGGCGATGAGTATCATGATCAACGCATGACTACCAACACCCAGCTCAAGAACCTGCTCCGGAAGGATCACGAGACATGTTTGACATAGCAGGTCAAGGAGATATAGCAAGTGGTCCTTTAGGAGAATTTCCGTAGGCTTATCCTACTGATCTGATCCATGGCCGACTTTAAGCAAAGTTCCGTACGAGATAAATGACGAGCTAAACTACTGGCAACAACGTTGAATTGTGTTTTAGTGACCAATTGGAGCAGCAATTTTTCTAGTTTGCAGCACCAATGAGTTCTGAATCGGGAATCCACAGTGTTCCATTGTGTGTTGGCATCACCACCGTCTGAGGGTGATGCTGCTTTTGAGCTTCGCCTCCTAATGAGCTATAAAGCTCCTAGACCAGATGAACTCCTTCCTGTTCTTTTCAAAGATGGAAGCCAACCACTTGTACGGGAGATGACTTCCGTCCTCGAAGAAATTTAGCTCGCTGAAGCAATTCCGTCCGTTTGAAGCATAGCGAACATCGTGCCCGTCATCAAAAAGGTGCCCGGACAGACTAGGCTAATGATCGAAAGATAGCCTAATTTGCGTTGCGCTCAAAATGCTCACCGCCCTAATTCGAAGCAAGATAAATCTGGTTCGTGAAAAGAAATTACGCGAAGAGCAACATGCGGTCCGCTCTGGCCAGAACTGTACCGATCATAACTTCACGATTCATAAAATACTCGAGCATTGTCAAACAATTGGCCGGCCAATGACAAGTTCCTTCTTAGACACATGAGCTTTGTCTGACTCACTTCACTGAGCTAGAGTTGTCGACTGAGGAGCGGAGTGCCTTGGAATTATGTTAGCACTCTTCCAGCCATTCATTCTCGAACCTCAAGCCGAGGGCGGATGTATGGCGGGGTTTCGCACGCCCCTCAGTATCACCCGTGGAATGAAACAAAGTTGCCTTGTATCATTCCTCACATTCAGCTTTGTTATGTACGACATCCTGAAAACTGCTCTGGACAATTGCGAGTCCAATGGCGTTGAACTGCGTACGGGAGACGATTTCGCAATTTGGAGGATGCGGACGATATTGCCGTAACCTGGGATTCTTCGCACGCTGCCCAAAATTTACTGAAGAGGTTGGAGGTAGCTGCCTTCTATTTGGGAATTGCCCTCCCTCCACCGAAGTGCAGTCTTCCTGCAAGACCGGTTAGAAAGTGCTCATTATCTTACCATATCGGGTAATCCTTTGGAAGTGGTAGACAAGTTAGTTTATCTCGGAAACTGTCTCAGCACCAACGGTTTGACGGACGAGTTGCCTTTGCGAGTCTCTAAGACTCGGTTGCCATTTGATAATCTCCGCCATCTCTGGTGTCGACGCGACCTGAGTCTATTATGCTACGGTAAGAGTGGTCCTGCACTGAGATTGCGGGAGTTGAGTTGTTCGCACAGATGTTCAGATGTCTGCTTTTAATCACCACCGCCTTCTGAGCAATGCCAGTGTACGATGGCAACGCCAGATGAGTAGCGACGACGTTCGTCGAAGGATTTTCAAATGAAACGGACTCTGCCAAGTTTCGGGTGGCATAACTTCACTGCGTAGGCTACTGCGACTGAGTCCAGCGCTTCGTACGGCTTCTCAACGTTCCTCTCACCGTGCTGTCTTTGCGCGTTCAACATTAGATTGAAAGCGAAAACAAAAGCGGAATAGGAATGACATGGAACCAAAGTTTGAAGGCGTTAACCTCAAGTCTGACCGCTGTCAGGGGCTTTCGTCTCCCGGGTTGGGGGCGCAGGGATCACGAGCATGCCTAGCTGGAAATTATCTTGGACATCGCGAGACTTCGTACTCAAAGGTGGACATGTTGTGAGAGCCTACCCTCATGAGCATAACTTTAAAGTTGTCTTTCTCTCTCACCCTGTGTTTTTATGCATAGGTTGTGGCACACTGCCAACTGTTCTATTTTTGGCTAAATGATATATATATATATATATATATATATATATATATTCATATATGTGCCCCATGCTGAGGCTGATGTTGCATTCTTTATGTTTCTTCACCGCAGTTGGGTTAACCCAACTTAAACTGGTTTGTTTAAGAAGGATAAATTTCATTCCACTTTATTTGGTTTGTTCTGCCTACCTGAATAATCTTCAATTAACTGGCCACGTTGCTTACGCTAATTGCGCCTATCTTCGGTAACTTTGCTGCGTTTGTAGCAGTTTTAAGTAACTCGTGGACATTTCTTACTTATCGCGGATTCGTTGCTAACCAACTTACTCCATATGGTAATTTAGCGAAGAGTTATGCCACCGTATCTGTATGCATTACTGGATTTATTTTATTTCACTTTGTCGTTTCAAGTGATTGGCTGTTGCTTGACATCCCCGGTGTGGCTGTGCTTGATGAGCATGTTGACAAGGTGCCTACCTGTCTATTACCCACTACCTCGTCCATACTGGCTCCAGGAGACAGTTGGTCGTTGCTGAAGGGGACGGGGTGCACGGTCCTAGTGGCCGTGCTAGGCTCGAAGAGTGGTTCCATGCACTCAGTGTGGAGCGAACTACGGTCCAGCCACCGCCTTGTGTGCACTTGATTCCCCAACTACAGCGTACTTGTGTTTGCCTGTGAAGGAGTGTAGGCCGGCTTCGTTGATGAAACGTGGCTCCCTTCCACATGTCTTCCGGTCTTATTCCTTCGGGTTTACACTGGATATGGGGTGTGTGGTTGCAGCTGTGGGTGGTGCAGCGCAAGCCACCCATGGTCCCTCTGTAGGCGCAGGCGTCATGTGGCTTGCCACAGTGACAGGCAAATCCAAAACCGGATGCCGCCAACCATATATATACATATATATATATATATATATATATATATATATATTGAGAGAGGGAGAGAGAAGGGAATAAGCTCATTTCCCGATGGAGCCCTAATAGAGAAGTACTGACAAATTCCTAAGAATTTTTCAGCTGTTTGGATAACTATCCAACTTGGAAGCAAATGAGGAAAACAATTTATAACATCGAAAACAACCCCACTAACTAGTCATTTAAATATACATATAAACGGTCTACTACCTAATGGTTTCACTACACGTGAAGATGGTGTTACCCCTAAGCAAAGCACTGGTGATGGCCCAATGAAAACTGGTCGAGGGGACCACTGTCTGAGACAAGTATCGGGATGTCTTTATTTGCAGATGAGCCCAAGTGACTTGCAGATAGTAAGCATACACCGAAGGGCATAAAAACGACACCGGCTTCGACAGTGGTCACCTTGAAAGTGCAACATCAACGCAGATAATGTTGTATGCCTGTCTTTTCAATCGTCACTATGACCGGAGCCCGTATGTTGCAGTGAGTACGGACTGGCGGTGAAATATTGTAGGATACTTCGACCTTGTGCTGTCAACTGAGTAGCGGATATTCCGCCAGCAGCATAATCTCGTGAAAAGGGCGAGCTCGATTGTATCTTGTTTATCGGGTTTGGACCGGGCGAATGCGACCGTTTCTAATGCCACAAAGAACGCTGATGATGTCGGTCGGCTCGCAACACTGCGCCCCCCGACAGATATTGTACTGCTTTGCATTCGTCAGGTAGATACATCTGAAATTCGACTAGAAATTGAGATGTCGGGATTATCGGATAAAGCCTTCGTTCCTAGTGCACGAAGTGGCTGGCAACGCTAGTCACAACGGTGAGTGAAGCAGTAATGCTGGGTCAGTTTGAAGCACCCGTGGTGTGAATGAACTGTAACGCGAAAGCTCAATGTGAAACTTCAAGTGAAACATGACAAAATAAGAATTCTTAATTTAAAAGTAGAAGATAGCGAGTGCCTGAAGGCTTTTTGAAACTTTATGCCGTAGGTGTCAGTGTTTTCTCTGTTCTCTACTGAAAAGCAAAAAAGAACTGTAAATCAAGGTGTCAACCAAGTTAATGTCTCATTGACAGAGTGAGAAAATGCAACCACAAAACTGTTTGGGCAGAATCTGGGTGCAAAACCCAGTAGACAGTATCAGCAGAACCATAGATGGATTCAGAAGCGGCAGAATGCCACTTACACAGTTTAACCAGGAACGTTTTTCACGCCACATCTCGCTGAATTCTTGATAACATTCAACTCTACCACCAGCGCTGGCGGATTTTATCGAAGAATGAGCAGAGCCCCAAGTGGCTTGCTCTGCAAGATCGGTAGGCTCTTTCTCGAGGCCATCATAGTTCGACAAAGGTGATGTGTGGTTCTCCGTAGACTCTGGTGAATCAATCGCTGTGACCCATCCGTCCGTCACGGAATTCGTTGATCTGGATGAAAAAGTTCATTATTAGATGATGTGGTGATTTCTATTGGAACAGTTGGATGTGTTAAAATCGGTTGTCGAACAAAGTCATTCCGGAAAACAGGTACAAACAAGAAAGGGCTAACGTGAGCGAAGAAGAGTTGAAGGCGCTAGCGTGCGGAAACGACCGTCAAGTAGGACCCAGTGTAACAGTCACAAGTTGGAAGTCAGGAAACTTACAGGTGTCACAACACTACGAGACTATTCCTGATTGGAACGCATAAAAAGCTGAGATAGTTAGACGCTGAAATGATACCATGGATACCAGGGATGTCAGCTAAGCTTCAAGCCGCTCCGCCGTACGGCAAACGTCACCAAGGTGACACTATCCCTGTTAGGTCGTGGTAACATAGACACACTACTCACTATACGCTCAGTCTAAGTTTGGATGGCATGCAGAAGTCTGACGTCAACCGTTAGTGCGCGTCCTAACATACAAAATTACTAGGTTTAAAGGTGGTCCAGCGGCGAGTCGCACTGATGTCCAGGGTATTTGTTGGCCAGTAGGATGCACTGAATCACGAGTTCAACACATCTGAGGAGGAGGGTTCAGGCCGACTTTAAGTTACAGCTTCGGTTCCATCGGGACATCTCTCATCAGACTTGACTTCGTGTGAGTGACTCCCAGTCAAATATAGACCGGCACGATCACCACGGAAAACTTACGTGGAGACTGTCCAAGGAAAACAAAGTAGTTGGATGAGATTAAAAACCCCCATGAAAAAAGTGTTCTTAGATGCACTTCAATGAGAGGAACTGCTGGTCCCAAACCCGGTAGACCCATCCTGGAAGAGTACAGTTTTGCTATCTCTAGTACCCCTTTAAGTGCCTGTTTCAAAAATATCTTCACCTTACTTCTCACCTGTTGGGCCTTAGCGGGTTAGAAGTTGCTGTCATTGCCGATGGGATTGAGTCCCCAATCAGAGGGCTTAAATACTCCGCCAGAAAGCATGTGAAGCGTCGTACTCCACGAACGAAAGCAGATTCGGCTGACCGGAGTCCAGTTTGACTCGCCAGTGTAGTGTGGGAGTTGGATAAAACGGCATAGTGCAAGCCACCACGACACCGATGTAGTTTGCGATAAATGCGGCGCAGAAAGTCCCACTCTTCCTGCACTTGACTTCGCAACTCACTTGCAGTCTGAAGAAATTGCAAAAAAGGTATGGTTTGACATGTAGTGAACTGCATATATAACGAGAAACTACGCTTGACAAATAAACCGTTGACACACAATGCGGCTGTGCTGAAAAACGCTAGGCTAACGAAACTAGAGTCGCGCCAAAAACATGTGTATGCTTTCATGCTGTATGGAAGCGTTAAAGTATTGAAGGTGCGGGCTGAGACATACCACACATTCGGGAGGATAGAGCACCTTCCAGTAATGCCCCACAATAAAGTTGGAAGTTCGTACATTAGAGACGAACGTTTATAGTCAAAAATATAGTATGAATAAAAGTCGAAGTTTAGCATGTCCCGCAGGATGGTGTGTGATGGTATAAAAAGAAGAATCACTATAAACGGAGAAACCGGAAACGGTGGACTTATTGAACAAACTTTTGTCCGTCCGTTTAATGCAAATTGGAATGTCGCCGTCCTTGGTTTCCCCATAAAAACGGGTGTAGTTTGATACGGTTTTGTCTTCAGGATGTGCGTGCAGTTCATGTGCGTTATATGATTTGGTGTAATGCTACCAGCGCATTGTCGATACGGTCTTTGAACACAGCTAATGTGGGGGCTGAAATAACAGGTCCTGGGAGTGAATTCCATATGTGGAAAGCAAATAGTGAGAAGAAATTTCGTCTGCACTCAAACCGGCTGAAGTCTGCTACTATGGCTGAACTTTAGCAGCTGATAGCAAGTGCGGCTAGGATTGTTAGAAATTTGGTTAGCAATAATAAGATCAAGGCGCATGTGCCGAGAGTGTCAACCGAAAACACTCAGCACACTCAGGCGCTATTCTCAAGGTAGTTGGTATAGTCTTTGAACGTTTTGGTTTGCCCGACATTGTAAAATCTATTAGCAAGTGAAATCCCGCTTTTATCTTGCTGCCACGCTTGAATCGCATGTTTTACGTGCGGACATGTGTATGCAGAAATCAGCTGGGGAAAATAGGCGGGCTAAAGTGACGAAAAGCATTCTTAAAGAGCCCCAAGTTATGGGTGCCCTTTTCTGATGCCAGTGCAGATTTTCCCGAGCAACCAAGTTCTTCTTAAATCAGTATACCGAGATCTTTTGCTCGAGTATTATTAAGCGGCTATACGGATCGCATACCTCCGCAAGGCGCTACGACACAGGCCATGCCGACGGCTTGAACGGGCTTCACGCCTGGCGCAAATGGCTGACCAACTATGGAATCCAGGGGCGATAAGAATGGCTGACGAACTCAGGGTTTATACCCTGGCGCACGTACAGCCGGCCACATATGGAACACAGAAGCGATATGACCGGCTGGCAAACACTGGGGACGTGCGAGTGAGTAAACGAGGGTCGTGTCTTGACGCGGACAAACGTCCAACTATGCCAAACCAGTCAGGCAGAATGCGTTGCCATCGGTTGAGGCCAGGACGCAGAAGATGCGGGGGTCATGGCTCATGTATAAATAGAACCATACGCTCCATATAAATACACACCTATCTACCGAGCATTGACTTTTGACTTTCGTGGTGGGATTGGACGCCAGGCACAGAGGACCTTAGTCAACAGTACCGCAGGCGAAGGGTTACATCAAGTACAATACCGGATATGCTGATCGCCCAGACTATAGGTGTAAAATTTTTGGTGTCGTAGATGGAGTACTCAACATTTAGTTACATGGACTGAAGATGATTATGAAGTAAACATTCCTAAATCGTGTGAGTTAGGGGTGTCTCAGAATCCGGTCTCAGAAAATCAGGATTTGCAACTACTCACAGTATAAATCGTTTTGTTATATGGAGTTAGGCCGACATTATTACAAAGAATTTCGGTACGATCAAAAGATATCAAGACAAATCAGTGTGCGTACAGGTAGATAACTTCGGTTGCCGCAAATACAGAAGGAATGAAAATACCACAGATTATCGACAGTGAGGGTGAAGGGAATGTAAACACAGGCGAATGACAGGACTTTATCGGCCAACTCCGGTCAAGTCATCATCATCACCATCAGCACCACTACCATCGCCAGCATCTTCATCATCAAGGTCAAAGCGGCCGGTTTGAAACAACTACCTCTGTTCTCAGACCAGTTACTTCCGGTTGGTGTGTCACATATTGCACTTTTTTGTCTTCACTTGTATAATTCAGTATACTTTATGAATCTGAATTGTCAGTTTTTCGCTCCTTTAGGTTTGTTTTCCCCATCGTTTACATTATTAAAGTCGTGTTTAGCCGTATATTTTTGTGTAATTCAGTGCCATTTGTGAATCCGAATCTATGTATCATTAATACGTGTCCTATTCGTGTCTTTTCGCATGATTGTATAATCTCCATATTCTTTCTTATCGACCGCCGGTAACTTTAAAACTGGTAAAGCAGTCCCCCTGCAGAAGTTGCTCTAAGATCGCTAGTAATCGTGCAAACGCTGTTTCAGATGGCGTTTGCCAGGTGAATTTTCACATTTGGTGTATGGGTCTTTCTGTGGACCACTTTCGCGTTATCCGCGAGATTCAGCACGAATTTTCAAGATTATATGTAAGGAGTGCCAGTGCAAACGGTAGCCCAAGCCCCCTGGGAAATCTAATCAACGGACAGGTAAAGCGAGGCACTCCAGGGCCCGGGCTCTGTAAGTTTCGCGCAAAAGGCACAGCTACACGTTGCACGCCTACCACCAACTCTGTTGAGCCAATTCCTAGATTGCCGAGTTGCCTCTCTTTACTACCAGCTACTCGCTCGACGGACACTGCAACTAGAATGTGTGACAACCCAGGCAGTGATGACCTCTGGCAAACGCAGACGCAAAAGCCAAAGAAACCGAAAGCGACCTCCAGCGACCTGAGGCATCGCAACTTGATGGTCTTCCACGCACCTGAATAGTCGGATTCGAGCCCTCAGTTTCGCTATGAACACGATGTCGAGTTTCTGCAGTCTGAAGACGGGCTGAAAGAGATGGAAATTGCCGGTCTGGGGAAGAAAACTGAGGGAAATGTTCAACCCATTAGGATCACTTTTGCTGACAAAGCTTGTCCGAGGTTGATATTATCGCGCCTCGGTAGACTCAAGGTTATGAAGATCCATGTGCGCGCAGACATGGATCCAGCAGACCGAGAAAAACTCAAGTCTGCCGTGATAGTATTAAAGCGGCGCATTGCAGGTGGGGAAACTAATCTCCGCATTGTAAACTTTTGAAGAGTTACCATGGTTCCCCCCCGAATTCGGATGAACAGGTTGCTACCGCTTAACGCCCGCTCGACAGTCCTTACCGTAGCCTGCGTGTAGCCTTTACGAATGTCTGTAGTCTAATGAACAAAGGTGAGGACGTCTGTCATTTGTTGCCTCTCGGCAAGTAGACGTATTGTGCATAGCTGAAACTTTGTTAAATTCAGAGATAAGCGCCAAAGAAATCAAAATCAGTGTGTATGCTTGCTTCCGCTGGGACAGGCTATCAAATGACCGCGGTGGCGTGCTGCTATACATACGGTCTTCGTTGAGCGAGAGACTTGTGAGCATCTACAGCAGCGGTGATAACCTGTGTGAGCAGCTATGGTGTTCGATCCACCTGAGACGCGGCGAACTCCTCGTGGGTGTTGCGAATCGCAGTTCACGGAGCGGTAGCTAGGACTGGTCGCCCCATCTGCGCAACCACATGAGTCGCCCGCAATTTCTGCTCATGGGCGATTACAACCTTCATCGAATACGGTGGCCCGAGGTCGAACCTCTCCCCGGTCAGTGCGAAGTCGAGACGAAGCTTGCGGAGTTGATATGTGAAACCGGGGCCACACAGCATATTAACCAACCGACGCGTATAACTGCGCGCGCGAATCCATCGTGCTTAGACCTGCTTTGGATCAGCTGTGAGCAAAATGTGCATGCGATACAAGTCTATGAGCACTGGGGAGCGAGTGACCACTCGATGATCAAAGCCAGCTTGAAACTGCCGCTGCCGTATTCTACCTCGATGGAGCCAGCCTTCAACAATTGCAAGGCGGACTTTAATGGCCTCACTCGAACAGCGAACCAGATGGACTGGTAGTTACAAGAGGCTTCGTCTGTTGAAACCTGTTGGAACATCACTAAAGAGGGAGTGAAATGGTTGTGCGCCCGATTTGTACCTCTCAAGTATCGGAAAGTCGTGTCAGTCAAGCCACATTGGTTCGACAAGGAGTACAACAAACTGGCCCGAGGACGACACAGACCATGGAACAAATTTGCGTTATCTGGCTCTGATGAGGATTACTAGGTGTACAAGGTACAGCGAAAGCTCTGCAACAACGCGAAAACAAAAAACGCAGAAGCTTTGAAGAGCGGCTTGCAACCGCCAAAAAAACTGCTCCCAAGATGATCTTCGCCTACGTGAAGCGGCGCCTGAAGCCTGCAGGCAATATGCCAGTGTCGGAAGGCTCAGATGGACAGCCCCTAACCTCCAGCATAGATCGTGCGTCTGCATTGGCGACGCACTTCGCCTCCGTATTTGCAAGTAACCAGGTGTCTGTACCGAGTTCGATAAGTACCGCTCCCGCTGAACTAGACAGCCTGGGTTGCAACATTGAAAATGTACGAAAGCTTCAGGCAAGTCTTGACGGGACGAAGCCTGCCAGGTCAGATGGAATCCACCCACTGCTCCTCAAGTCCCTATCGGCCATCATCTCGCCTTCTGTAACTGAGCTGTTCAACAGGTCACTATCCACTGGTTTATTACCGGGTGACTGGAAATGCTCCGTCGTAAAGCCAATACCGAAAGGTTGTAACCCAAGGAAAGTGGATAACTACCGGCCGATCTGCCTGACCGCTGTTTTGGCAAAGACGCTAGAGAAGATCCTGAACAAGTGTCTTCTGCAGCTTCTCGAGTAGAAAAGCCTGTTGACTCACGCACAGCATGGTTTCATGAAAGCTCGCTCGTGCATCACCAACCTACTGTTGACGAAGCACGAATGGTTACAAGCGCTGAACCAAGGCAATTCGGTCGACGTCATTTACATTGACTTCAGTAAGGCTTTGACAAGGTGAATTATGCAGTGCTCCTCGACAAGCTGAGGGTATGCGGTGTTGGTGGCCCACTGAAAATATGGATTGGGAATTTCCTTGTTGATCAAAAGTGGAGGGTTCATTTGGACAACCATTTAACCGACTGGTATCCATAGAGCAGTGTCGTGCCCCAAGGCACTGTACCGGAGCTGATTTTGTTTTTGATCCATGTAAACGAAGTGTCTCAGCTACTCTATTCACCATGTGCCATGTTCGCAGATGACTTGAAGGTGTGGATAGTGATCCGCAAACACAGTGACTGTGACCTGCTTCAGCAGTAACTCGACCGCCTCTCCACGTGGTCTGCAGAGGTCAACCTTCCGGTCAACTCGGTCAAGTCGCAATTCATGAAGCTGGGTAAGTGTGAGCACAGTAGAACCTACACGGTGGCAGGTCAACCATTGCATCCCGCGCTTTTCGTAAGAGACCTGGGTGCACTCTCACGCTACAGCCTAAAATCCATGGACAACACGAATAGGCTTCTCCAAAACAGCCTTTGTATACTATATGTACTCAGGCGCAGCTTAAGCACTTGGTCCAAAAAGATTGCCACTCGCCTCATCGTCCCAATAATACAACCAATGTTAGAGAATGCCTTTCCCGCGTGGTGTCCTATCACGGGGGGCAAGGCGTAAAAGATTGAACGAGTACAGCATGTAGCCACCAGATTGATTCCCAATTTACGAGCTGTGCCGTATGAAGACCGCAGTAAAAGACTAGGTCTTAACACCCAAGCTTATTGTCGAATGCGATTTGACCTCAACATGACGCACCGGATATTACATCTGGGAGATTAACCCATGTTGAGATCGATGCTTCATCTGCGCACACCAAGCAGCACACGAGGACACCGGTACAAGCTTGTCGTACCGGATTTGAAGTGGGTCGCTCACCAACTCCGCTTCGAGCGGAGGGTGGTGAATATTTAGAACAACCTACCTGCAGACATAGTCGAAGCAAAGTCGGTATCAGAGTTTAAGAAACTCCTGGACTCGAACATTGCCGACTTCAGATTTTGAGAGTAAGCACCATCATACTAAGATGATTTGCTTGAAAAATATTAGATGCAGCTACCCAAAAGAATCCCTACACGCTACATATTCTCAGAATCAGTAATCATCACCAACATCATCACTGTCGTCATCATCATCATCATCATCAGCAGCAGCAGCAGCAGCAGCAGCGGCAGCAGCGGCATCATCATCATCATCATCTCCCTCCGCTTCAATTAACATCAGCAATTAACGTTAGTCGAGGGTGAGAACCACACCTTGGTTAATTTGGCGATCGAGCCTGATGAGTGGAAAAGGCTTCAGAGAAAGGTATGATTTGATGAAAATTGGAGGGGCAGAAGCGCGATCCGAAAAGCATGACAGCAATACTATGGGAACGGAGTGGGAAACTCCCCGCTGCGCCACACGTTGGCTTCATTCGGTTGCGTTTATGAATGGATGACGTATGGGAAGGGGATACGGGATGCAGCCGCATCCCAGGCAATAGGCAACACAGCGTCGGGTTGAGGACGTCACTCAGAGCTACAGGAGCTGCGAGTGTAGGCTATATGAAGCAATCGATCGTCAGCAGACAGACAGAGGCTCCAAAAAAGAATTGACTTTCCACACAACGCTTCTTTCAATGAAATTTATTTAAAACAATTAGGTCCACACACTAATGTGGAAGGTGCACTGATAAAACGAACTTTGGCAGATGCATGCATTCGGTCTCGTCCCGTACCGTGAACGATAATTTCCAAGTATCCAAGCTCGACAACAGGTGCAATGAAACATAAAAACAGTCGAGGCGAGAGTAAAATCTCATTGCTACGATGAGGGTAACTTATGGTCGACAGATAATTGGTTTTGAACATGAAACACAGGTCTACTCTAGCTTATCATGATAGCTCCGAATATCTCCACTCGAACTGCCCAGGCGAAGACGCAACCTACCATTGAGACGTTGATCTCTGTATCTATCAATATGATGACCTGAGTTCAGATGATCAGATATATAGCCCTCAGGTGCAAGGAATATATCGGACTAGAAGGGCAGTTCGGGAACGGATGAAGTTTCACTTGTCCGTCAGCAACGATTTACAAAGAGGAATCAGTACCGAACCACACTGACACCCCAGCAAAAAGTTTAACTAGAGAGGATTTATGAATCCTCATCTGACGAGAACAATTAGTGAAGGTTGAGAATCGCTCACCTACCAATACAACGTTTCAGTGAACGCATGAGTGGCTGCGAGGCAACGAATTCAGTTGTATCGAATCCCATAAAAACCAGGCCCAGTTGAAGGTTGGAAGCAAATGGATATCCACTAGCTGGCTTCAAAATAAAAAGAAGCCCTCTGTTGTACAGTACCTGGATTACAAACGAGCTGGGAAGTCAAATGACGTATAGAAAAAAAGAATGGATGGCATTTTCCAAAACAAAAGTCCATGCTGATGAGCTTTCGACTTTCTCCCTTATAATAATGCAACCAACGACCGGTTCCAACCATGTTTGAACTCAGCAAGTGGAGATAACCAGGGCTAGGAGTGGAATGACTGTCGAAGCTTTGATCATTAGGCGTCAGAGATCCAAGAGCAACGCTGGGCACAATGGAATGGAATACACTTTCGATCAGCGGACTTCCGGGACAAGGTGATCAAAGCCACAGCTGTCAGCCACCACGTCCAGGGTTCCTCTCCCAGCTCCGTCTATACCAAGTTGATGCGTTCAACAAAGGAAGAAACAGGCCGTGGGATACAGTTTTGGGTACGTGCAATATCCAAGACTCTCCACTTCGTATAAGGTCTTAGAGATCGCGATGAGTGAGGTCTACTTCAAAGCAAACCAAAGTCAAACTAGATATGGCAAGTACTCTAAAACACAGCATTAATAAACTGTGCTCTCTAGAAAATGGGGGCAAAGGGCAAGCTAACTCAAACGACACCGTGTTCAGGCAGGGACAAACCAGTTTGAAATAAAGTAGTTATCGACTATCAAAGGGAGGACGACGCAGAGCACCCTCCGGTTACCATTGAGTATTGATCCGAGTCGCATCGCTCAAGCACTTATGTGAAGAGCATCGGATCAGTGGACCCATATTGATTATTATATATAGGATTTCGCAAAAGGTCCCTGAACGAAGGCTTATCGGAAAGTGAGGTGAGAAAACTAATCCCCTATTGAAACGCTAGCAACACAATCAAATAAAAAAGCTCTGTCATGAGTGACCTAGGCTGATCAATCGGTCTGTGGATAAGAGGATAGCTCGGTGGAGGGCGGATTCAATTGACGCGAGTCAATTGAAGCAATTTTCGCTATTCCACCGTACCTGGGTTACTGAGTACATACGGTTACCTGAGCTGCCTTCGGTGATCAGAAGGCCCCAGGAATGGCTTCCACGAAAGGTGGTGACTATCGTTGACGAGTTCGAAGCCCGATGCGAACGTGGGCTAAGTTATCCAATCCAGCGCATATGATACAGAGGCATGTTCGTGGGTATGAAAGGCAGATAGATTTCGAACCAGTGTGCAACAGTCTACAAACACGGACGGACACATTGGCACAAATGGAGAATCATGTTGTAGCTCAAGTGAGCGATCGAAAAAATTTTGACAAAAGCCCGGCAGTTAACTGAAAGACAGTGTGAGCCATCGATGCGATACGATCGAAGTGGCGCGATACCAATTTGTTAAGTAGGCAGAGTGCGGAAGGAGCAGCACAAATCGAAGCAGACACTAACTCACTCCATCTCCAGCACTCCGTTTGACAGTAAGCAGGCGAATGAAGCAGTCCACATAGGTCTCCAACAGCTGTGGCACATTGAACAAAGAGTCCAACGCGGAACCGTCGAGGAACTGCCGCGCTTGTCCAGTCGCTTTGCAGAACCATCTGGGGCGTGAAACAGCTGGCTTTTCCCGTTGTGAATTGGTGTGGATCTCAGTGCGCACTTCGTCTGCATGCGTGGTCACGTCAGGAGCTGAGTCACTTTCGAGCAACTGCTGTGTGTCTAGGAATGAGCCGTGTCGATTGAACCATCGGAAAGCGACACGTGGCTGAGCAGCAGTGTTCAGTTTGGTGGCGGTAAGGAGCCTTTTGCGGTACTCAAGGACGATTTCAACAGATGCATTGAGCAATTCGCGCAGTTCCATCACCAGGTGGGCGAGGTTGAGAGGATTCGGTTGGGAATTGCTGAAAAATCGTTACGAACAATGGAGTATCAACCTTGGTATTGCAAGACACGCGATGCCGATCTAGGTGGGTTTATAGAGAACGTCAATGTGACATCATTGTGTTGAAGTGGGCTACACGCAATATCGGCGACAGACCAATGCAGGTTAGAAATTGCACAATGTCGTACTAGGGATAACTGCTGGTAGTTGTATGATCTCCTTTTGGTGAGTGGCCAACCCAGACGATGATACACAGAGGGGCAGCCAAGGTAGACATAAGGAGATCCTGCATGTTTGGACTGTAACAGCCAAGGAAGAATTCAGTGACAGGCAACAGCAGTCACGTGTTGATGTAAAATATCACTTACCCCAAAGTCTCGGCAGTAACCTGAAGAAAATATGCCATCATCATACCACAGAAGGAATTATGATTTTACCTCCTAATAGTAGGTCTAGTTGTCTAAGAAACGATTAATTACTGTATATGCTCATAACTCTCCAGCGCAAGATAGTGCCATGTAAGCGTCGGCTGAAAGTGGAAAAATTACATGTTCGTTTTGACATATGGCAATCAACCGATTCGCCGGGGACTGATCGATCAAAGGCCATGCAGTGTGGGTAGACAACGGCGAGCAGACCGTTGTAAAAACATTGTAACTTCCATACACCGGCAACAGAAACAGCGACTGACAGGGAAAAAAAGTTAACCAAGCGCATAATAAGAATAATAAAAAGTTGACGGAGGGGAATATCGAGTAGTTCAACATCAGTCCAAACACAAGAGCTCGATGGTGCGATTTAGTTTTTCTTGTATAAAGGTTGGCAGAACAACTGAAACGACACACAAACGATGTGCCTTCTAACGCACAGTCGTGACGATATTCTCGATAACAGTGAACAGAATCAAGAGTTTTGCCGTTGTGTCGAAATGTTATCTGAAGCAAAATATTCCGATAAGAAGCAGTGGAAGTGGTTCCCAGTACATCAAGTTTATGGGTAAGGCAGCACATTATGTAGCAGAGAACAGAAGATGATAGGAGCAAATGTCCGAAACTGACAAAGTACGCTATTACGTAACAAAAGATATTTGCGAATAATGTCTAATAATAAGTGATAGTATACTAAAGCATAGAAACTACTTATAGAACTTGTCTTGCTATGAAAATGCAAAACGAACGCTAGAATCGGATACGTGGCATCCCTACGAGCCAAAAGTCAAAAGATCGCGATTAAAACTGCACTTTACATGTTGTTATCGAGACACGACAGAACAGCCTCCGTTCTCCGCTGTGTGACGTTCTTAATCCAGTACAAAATAAACTTCACCAGTATCAATGTAATATCATATCTCGTGTTCATGTATAAATATACCCGTGCCGACGCGACTTGGTAACGCCAGTATCCTCCGAGTGATATTCAGTTACTAACACCTGCAGATATGTTGTTACAGATGTAAGCAGACAAAATGGATCGAATATAACTCCTTTAGATACTAGCACTGCTTGATCGGTAATATGCACGCTGACGAGCAATGAATTAGGGAAAACAATCGCCCTGTTGTCATGGTGAAGATATGGTCATGTACAGGTCGAAGTGCACACGTGAGTGAAAAAGGTAAACACAAGCCTGAGCACCTTTCTACTGTGGGTGACAGGTAGTCAAGCACCTCGGAGGAAAGACACCGCTGGCTAGAGTAGCTTGTTTAGCATGTGTTCAAGTCGAATTTTAAAAATATACTGGACGAATAGTGAATCCAAACTGCGAGGGCCGTAAGATTTTTAGGTGTGACAGTATAAACAGTTCGCGTCAAGCGATCGAGGAGCGGTGCTGGAGGGTTTGGGTACGACAGACAGTGTTTCAAGACGAGTGTGCAGCCCAGAAATCCGCGAGCAGCTAGGCATTAACACCATCTCGGCTGTGGCTTCACTTGCGAGCGAGGAGAATACCCGCTCCAGCTAAACAGGAAACAGTTTGGAGTGCGCAACGTAACGCGCCAATAATTGGTCAAGGAGGTCTCGAGGCTGTCATACAGACATTGATCGTCTAGAAAACTATGTTGTTGTCAGCAGATCTTATGAGCGTATAATACGCACTGTTAGATACAACGTTATGTTCGAATGAGGCTGAATGAGTGTATCGGGTGGTGGGGAGCGCAGAACTCACGTGCTCACACGATCGGTGTATTGTTGCAGCTTAAGTGCGACAGCGGCGCGGGTGACATCGAAGGGAATTCGTGCCAGACACAACCATAACGGTACCAACGTGGGTAGAAACATTCTGAGGCTATCGTCGTGTTCGGAGAGCATGGAGGTGGAGTCTAGCCAGTGGAACTCCGCTTCAGTTAAATTCGAGAGTGACCAATAATCTCGTAAGTCCACAGACAACAACGAAGTACAGGAGAGATCTGATGCAGAGGTGGAGGCGATAGCAGAGTAGGGGACTTGGAGTATGGAACTTGGGGAAGAGCTCGAAGAACTATCGGAATCATGGTGTGAGCCGAACTCGGAAGAGGATGTGGACGCATCACCGGCGGACAGTCTCATTGATGGAGGGGTAGGTGAACTGGAGGAGGAAAATGAAGAGTACGCAAGTGAAGATGGAGATTGAGTGGGGGAGCAAATCTCCCAGTTGACCGGAGGTCGATCAACAAAGAGGTTCGACTCAATGACTCCAGTAGGAGGACAGTCCGGGGAGCGTCGCACTGAGAGGGGATCAGCAACAACTGACAGGAGGCCACACCAGGATTGACGCTTGACGACTGAAGCATAAGACTGGGCTCGAGAAGGAGCATGTTTTCGTAGTAAGTTGCGCAGCCACTGAAAAAGAAAGTGAAAAGTGCTGAAGAACAAGCAGAAGAATACACATAAAATACCGGAGCGGAGACCAATGAAGAAGCACATGGATTACTTGAAAGCTGCCTTAAGTGACGAGCACTGGTTAGTGACGTAGTGGTTATCGAGGAAGGGATAGTTACCGAGGAACCGGGCACTATGACGAATTGCCGAATGGAACAACCTTAGTCGGACATGCCGGAGGCCAACTAAGCGAGACGTTTTTGTTGCAAACACTGACCTCTTTAAGAGATTGTTTGTAAACTGGCATTCGCTCGAATCGATTAACTGCATGATATACCAAGGCTGTTAACAACACACCCAAATACAGTTGCTGATTAGACCTTCGGTATAATCATTCAATGGCATAGCTGGCAACACAATCCTCAAGCGCCGTACGAGCGCTTCTTAAGCCTGGGATGCATCGTATGTTTTTTCTAACTTATGAATCAAGCTAGAACAGAAGCATTAGGCACCTTGCTACGGTTTAGAAAACAGCTATTACTTCAAACGTGATTTTAATGTCATAAGAGAAAGCTGGTTTAACGTGGAAGATACTCTGGGGTTAAACACCCTCCGCTGTGGTGTAGCGTTACGCTACCATTAGACTATAGGTCTGATCTTCAGACTGAAGTAGGCATATTCGGTTAGCACTACTCCTTACAGAGTGTTTGGTGTCGTCTTATTCTGGAATGATGAAGTAACTAACCAAGGATTCTCAGAGTTTGATAATTGTCCAATTGAACTGATTGAAATCAACCCCTATGAAATTATCGCACGCGCTAAGCAGAACGTTTGATTCTGTTCATATGTGACAACTTTATTTGCAAGCTGCCACTAGGTGTGTAATTTCCCTTGCAAATAGACGACCACCACAATAAGTTCTCTAAGAACGTGGGTCTCATTCGTTATCTGTAGAGCAACTTAGCGGCAAGATCAGTGTGATGTGTAGAACCTAATGCAGTAGCCAAAAACGCACAGCAAGTGTGCTCAATGTGCGAAGGAATAGAATGATTGAAGCAGACCTAAGTAGAAGCAGAAAAGCAAAACCGTACAAGTCGGATTAAGAAATTAGGTTGCTAACAATAAAGTTAGTATACGAGGGATAACCCAGATATGCTCTGACAAATCTACCACAAAGTGTTTCCCAACAGATAATGTATCGCAGCGCACTTGTCTAGCCAGCCATCCAGATAGTTGTCTATCTTGAAACCCCTCCTCAAGCCACAGTTTGTGTTTCCGAACTAAAGGCATTGAGCGTGGAGCCGAGGTACTTTTATAAACTAGGCACAAATGGACAGGAAGAAGTGATATAACATTAGTTGAGCCAAGACACTGTTGCCATTGCCTGCGATTGCTTAAGACTCTTAAAGAGCATTAGTGTGGTTTATTGCATTTCTGAGAAAATTCATCGCGGTTAGACTCGGCCATACAGCCACCACAGATCAAGAAAACGCCAGACGGCCGTTTTGACCTGATGGGTCTCCTCAATAGTGCGCACCCATGGGAACCATAAGGTTCCGAAACGGTGACCACTAGTGGTTTGTACCGCCAGCCAGAGACTTATGCCACTGAGCCAAGACTCAGTGTGTGGTGACTGTCTGGCTGAGTTTAGCTGCGATTAAAACTTCGTTCATCGCAGCTAACTACCACAGGTTTGTACTGGGCCTGAGTCACAGTAGACGTTAAAGACCGCTGAATTCGGTTGAAGACAATGGGTTTCGGTGGTATGGAAGAGGATTATACGTTTACGCTTTTCGAATAAAGGAGGTACTTTCGGAAGTGTCAAAAACACAAATCAGTTTTGTAAAGCTTTGCATTACGGCTACGTTTCGTCCTTGACAGAAAAGCTTTTCGCCTGATTTGTGTTTTCAAAGCCTCTAAATTAAGAATTTCCAGTCGGTTCTAAGTTTACTGTAAGATATTAAAAGGAGATAGTTTGACACTGCTCTGGATTCCAGGAGTGGACAAAGTATTCGGCGTGAGGCAGTACACATTTTGTGTATCAGAAGACCGGTGTGTTTGGACCAACGAACAGTCTTCGAAAAACACCAGAATTCGCTTTTCGATGATTATTCAGAGTATTCTAATGTGGGCCTGTCAGAAGAGTCAACTAGGTGCAGCCCAGAGTAAGTAGCCGCAGATGAATTACTTCCCGTTTGTAGGCAAGAAACAGCAGGGAAGATAGAATTATGGAAATGCAACCGGAGACAGTGGGATTCTTGCAGAAACAGTGCTGACTAGGTCAAGGAGCCGTACTCGAGCACAGTGGCCCAAGCAGTCAATTGAAAGTTTTATCAAAAATCTTCCTACTCATCAGTAACCACGCTGTAACTACTCAGCCACCCAGAGTTACCCCAAAACAGGCACAGCTCCAATAAACAAACAATACAACGCCTGTTTGTTAACGGAATCCTATGGTTCTCACGGGACCGATTACTGATCGCATATCTATCCAGGTCCCCGACGGTTAACAATAAGTCTACACATGCAATGATCACAAGAAAAGTGAATTCACTCCCGGTGTTCACATGTTTGCTGAGAAACTGAAATCTAGAGATCACGGTACGACCGAACAACTACTCACGGAGATTAAAGGCATAAAAGATACATCGGCGCAGAATGGGTGCGAAAAATTGCAAAAATGAGTGATGCGCCTTGAGAGTTTGCATTATGTTTGTGTTCTCGACGCAATCGTCTGTAAGACTGCGTATAAAAATGCAGCTCCGTAGCCAAGTCTTGCAATGGAGTACATTCTTGACAACCTGTCATCAGAATGTGCATAATGTTCAAAAACCAAGCCAGAAATGAAGTTCGACTGGTTGAAGAAGAGTACGATGATATTATTCATATCCCGCTGAACGAGTTGAGTGTTTTCAAACTGAGTTCTTCAATTGCTTAGAGGTTCTGTTACATGGTTGATTGTCAAATTTTGAGTAGGTGGACGACGTGGCTCTCTTCTAATGAGACCCAGCCGCTTTGCGGTCACTAGCGAATAGATTGGCAGGTAGCAATGCGCACTACGGCATGTGATCGTACCTTTAAAGTGCAGATGAATGCACACAACTGGTTTGAAACGCCATCAGTCATGAAAGCTATGGAACAACCGTCCGAAATAGTCTGTCTGTTTATCTCGCTAGATGGCTGTATCACCACTAGCGGTAGCAGCTTCGAGAAAATTACGGTATGCACCATTAATTGAGTCCGCATTTTTAGATGTTCAAAGACAACTACTAGGGTAATTACATGGACGCCGACCAAAGGTTATGTATTCCTTCCAAACTGATGTCCACATTTTGTATTACTCTCTGCCAGATATTTACGCTTTATTTATTTTTAGTGAGAATCACTTTATAGCTGTATTTTTACCTACCTTGATACTATCGTATATTTTATTTCCTCCTTGAGTACACCACGAACTGGGACTTCTGAAGATGTTTTAATCGATTGATGAAGTTGGATTGCGCGTCAGCGGGAGTTTGAAAGAATGACTCTGTAGTACAGTTGAAACCGAAATGTATTGTTTAAATCGACCGACGTTACTAATGTCTCCTTTGCTTGTTTTACAGGCATTGACTGACCGGATGCACAATGAATGAAGGGAATCAAAAGCCAAGCCCCATTACCTGTTCCTTGTAAACTCGTTGTTTATATACTTGCTTGCCGTGTACCACGCTCTTCGCATGTCGCGCTGTTGAATACATCTGTTACCGTCCCGCTCGCTCGTACTCGTATTCGACTCATTGGAGCATCGTCGGCTTGCATGATTATCGTTTCTTACGAGTTACTGCGTTAGTTACTCGGTCGCTGATTCTCACTTGCCGTTCGTTTGTAGCCGGGACTTCTCGTCCGTGTCTCGAACCTCCCACCCGGGACATATTACAGATCATCCACCAAAGTCCCATTTCCGCCTTCTGGTCAGACTGCGCTGGTTCAGATCGACGGGGCATCCGTTAACGGATATAACCCCAGCACAATCTTCAGCACTTCACCCTGAACAACGTGCATGTGTGAAACTGTCATGGATATAACATAATGCACATTTCCATATGTAGAGGGGACGAAATGGAAAAAAGCTGTAAGTATTTTGATCTTTCCCTATGTGAGAATAGTCTCGCATCGTTGAGAAGTAAAAGATTTATTTATTTATTTATTTATTTAAGGCCCTTAGGGCCTCGATTACCTATGGAGCTTATCCATTAACTGGATTGTTTACAGCGTTGCAGTGTGACCAGCGTGACTACAGAGTCAAAGAGCTGGCCGTCACATGCTGAAGACTTTACGCGGCTGAGAGTAATGTCAGTAATGCTTCATATCCGGTGGGAGAACCGGGCAAGCAATACCGAAATTTGGCATTTGGTGTTTGTTGACGGGCTCTGTAATGATTCGATGGATGCTCCGTTTCACAACAACCAACAATGAATGGTAGTTATTATGTGCCTGCTCATGAGAAAAATGACAAGTTTTAGCCAGTGTATACTCGGTTTTAACACCATCAATATCAAACGAACACTTGACAGATTTGGTGGAATCGCTACGCTCCGTAGGTATGTCACCTGAGACGGGATGTTCGCTTTCCATAGCTTAATCTTAAACAATGTACCGATGGGAGAGCGGCATCACTCAAATGGCAAACAGGTGGACCTTATTATTAGTAATGTTATTGTCGACGCAGAGAGAGATTACGCTACCCCACCTTACTTGCACCGAGACCATGTGGTATCATTAGGGTAAGATAGGTTAGTGGCAATGGCAAGCCAATTCAGTGATCTGACTTCTCTTTAGACAGCTAATTAATCCAAAGGAAAGTCAAAAATGCTAGCAGTACGCGGTGTTCCTGTGGTAAATGTTCACTGGTAGTTCACTCGTTCTTCATCTAGCCACTCGAAACGACCCATTAACCCTGGGAGACCGTGAAGGATGGAGCTGTGATCAGATAATCCATTGATTATAGAACCGGTCGATTAGTCTAGCAGATCCAGTGAATCGACGTAGAAAGGTCACTAGTGGAATAGAAACCTGCTCACACTAAAAGGCACCAAGCAGTATACAAATTTCGTGTGAAAGTAAAACATCCGGTGCAGAGAACCTCGGATTGCTTGGATTTGAGAATAAAAGCAGCAGGTGGTCAGAGATGGTTGCCCGAAACGTTCTCCAATGGGAGCCTATCGGTCAGTTCTGAGGATATAGTTGGGAAGTTTGCTTAATCTGGCATAAACCTGCGAAAAATCGCAGATATAATGACTGATTAGAGTACGAGGAGAGCAAACAGGGTACCACAATATGTCAGTGGATACGATAGAAAACCGACCCGTCAAGATGATTCATGAACTCAGTGTCAAATTGGATGGGTCATTTTGAAGCACCTGTATGTGAATGGATTGCGATACGCAATCTCTAAATGGACTACGATTCCCGGTGAAGTGAGTACTGGTCAATTCCACCAATGGGATCGTAACTGATAAAGCAGATAGATATTGGGTGTTGACCGACCGGCCGTTGTGACAAACGTTGCTCACCCTGACTGTGGCTAAATGGGTAGTGGTTTCAACTAACATCCCAGTGGCCCCGTTTTCTTTGCACACTGTCTCTACCTGATATTAAATAAGTTCTAAACCGGTCATGGAGCGCAGCATTTTCTTGCGGACAATTTCTAATATCCAGCTTTTTCATCAGTAGCAGAGTTTACTGTTGAGGAAGCTGAAATTCAGATTTCAAGATCTAAGACTCGGAAAACAAGGAAAAGAGTGAGACAGTGCCATCAGGTGAGTGACAGTCTCAGTTGCATGAGCGGTAGTCATTGAGCATGCAGCATCATCTTAACTTGTGCAAAGGGTAATTATCCAACAGGTTTCCCGCTCACGCAAACAGAACGCAGTGTTATCTCATGTTTAGGGAAATGTGACAAACTACTCACTGCATTCACAGCCGTCCTGCGTCCGTGCTCCGAACAGGTGGCAGGAGAGCGGGAACAAGTACACCTCGAAAGAGGAGTCATCAAATCGGTCCGAGCGTGCGATGCCGGAGATGAAAGTGGAGTGGTCGCGGTCGGTGAAAGACGAACATCAGCATGGTCCTGCGGATCCTTCATCGATGGGTTGGCTGCAGTAACGGGCTGCAGAGGTCTGAGACAAACGAGATTCGAACTAGATGGTTCGTCTGTGCCGAACATGTCCGTAGAATGAAGTAAAGCGTTATGGGGTGTCAAACGCAGTCCACTTACGTAAAGATTTCTTTACGTAATACCACAGTGATGAAAGTCATTATTCGATTATGATTGATTCCTGATTTGAATACCATAGCTGCCACGGAAGTGCATCGAGTCGGTTTTTAACCCAAATTTTTCATGGTAACAAGCAACGTGCGAGCAAGATGTTCGGATTCGGCAACTATATACTAACAAGGTTGTTTTGGATCTACTAAATGCGTATTTTTTGGGAAGAGGTGAGATAACGCAGGATAGGAGTTGAGTAGGCAACAACCGAGTGTACGGTTTCGTTGAGTCGCACTCTTAAGTTTGTCAGTTGGTACCGAGGCTCGACTCAAAAATCTTTCGAGTCTTCGCTTGCTACTACACTAACTAAACTCCTTGGGCCACATACGAATCTTCTCAGGATGAAAGGAAAAAATCCACCAAACTCATGAGGGCGACGGGTAGTGCACAACTACTACCAGTTGACCATGCGAGGACGAACTTGGTACTGCAGAGCTAACTGTGTCCTAGATATTTTGAATAACACATAATCCACACCCGTGTTCGGAATGAATATGGGACAGAAAAGATTAAGATGATAGAGTTGCTAGGTCACATGCCAAACTAGATGGCGGATCCAATTTGTGTGTGATCAGATTCACGGAACGCTGACAACGTGATGTGTTCGCACGAAGAGAAGATGAATATAGAGTGGGATAAACGTACTCGGTTTGCGTACACGCGGTAGATAAATGAGCACTGCTGGAATGCGGGTGACGCTGTGCGCTTCGGTCGCGTTTCCTATTGAGTTCAGGAGGATCGAAAAATTGACTTCCACCGTTCACTTCCGCAAGGATACGTTGCGTCAGGCGATCCAGACGAAGCAAGGCAACAGAGAAGGTCCCACAAGTTGTCACAGGCTCGTGAACCGCAACAACCGGGTGAATCCCCTGCTGTGGATGGCGCTCAGTATACGAGCTGCTGGACTCAATGACTGGAGGCAAGTGCCAAGAGTGACGGAGGAAATGGTCATACAATTGTTTGAGCTGTTCGCTAGGTCCACCGGCATACAAAGGACAAGAGGTCAAACTCGGAACTGGAACTAGATGAGGCAGACAGTAAAAAAGCACCAGTAGATAAGCAACAGAATGAGAGAATGCAAAAACAATTATCTATTCGTTCAATGCTTCAATGGTGTATGATGGGATAAAAAGCATAACTTTACAAGACCCACAGGATGGATATGCAGAAGAAAATTAAAATCAAAATGTTCCAATGTGGAACGTGAAGTATCAGTGGTTAAATCATTGCACTTTAGCAAAGTGTTGTGTATCGTTTATCACTAAGATGAAAGTCTAAGAGTTTTTCGAATGTCGTCATGTCTGGTGCGTTCACCACATATCTTGTTAATGCATTCCAGTGAGAACAGATTCTAAGTGAGTAAAAATACCTCCTACAATTCAGACGGGAGTGTTGCGTCATTAGTTTCAGGTGGTTGCCTCGGTTTTGTTTGTAAGGGGCTAGAGTCAACAGTGATGTACATGGATGCTCGCTTTCAGTTAGTATCCAGTATGTGAGAGTAAGATCTCCGCGAAGCCGTCGGTATTCTAATGAGAACACACCGAGTACACGAAGACACATTTCGTAAATTATACCGGATAGTCCACGCGTTGCCTTTGTGGCTCTTCTTTGGGGCTGTTCCAAGAGGCGGATGTCTCCTTTTAACCATGGACACCAGGCCCGAATTGCATATTCAACATGAGGACGAATGTAGGAGTTAATCAACAATGGTACTAGCTGTCGCTCAAAAGTGCCGAGAGCTCGCCTCAAAAGTCTCAAGTTCAAGTTCGGCACACTTGCTGCTTTCGAACATTGGAGCGAATTTCCAAGACTCTCTTGCACGATTATACCTAGGTCGCGTTCACTAGTCACGTGTTGCAGGACGTGTTGCCCCAAAAGATATGTGGTGACGAAGCTGTTGCTCACCGTCAACTGGTGGAACTTTGCAGGGTTCAGTGGGAGCTGGTTCCTTTCTGCCCATTCGTTAATCCGGGTCAGATTTTCCTGGAGGTAGACAAGGTCGGATGCTGAGCGAATTGCTCTCCATATTTTAGCATCGTCTGTAAATATTTGCATCGGAGATAGAATGTCTGCTGGAAGGTCATTAACGTAGACTAAAAACAGTAGCGTGAATGATAATGAAACTGAACAGTTTCAAGTGGAGTTGTCAATGTTTCATATGTCGTTGGAATGAGTCCATGGGTGACGAGCGCCTTAGGTAAGGGCGTAAAACGGAGTCTGTTGACGATCTAGTAGAACCATCACGAAGTTATCGTTACGGCAACCCCCGCCGCCACCGCTAATATACTCCAGTGTTCTGCCAAGTCCCGTTAACTAATGAGCATTGGACGGATTGGCGCACACGAGGCCCACCATGAGTAGGATATTCCAAGTAGGCAGGAAAGGCCAGATGTAGGTAGTGACTAAATTCCGCTCATCTGGATAGGCAGCTTTTGGGGGAGAGGCACCGTTTTATGCCCCACTGTTAACGACGTGGCTTCCACTTCGAAGGCACAATCACGATATGAATCGTATCATCAGTACCGAGGTATTTATATGGCCAGATAAGGGGGTCTGCATCCCAGTTCCGTAAGAAGACGTCGAACTCTAGTGATGAGTCTGAAGGTAGTCGCAAGTGAGACAGATATCGGTACTGTACACAACGGTAAACCGCTCGTTGCTGAGAATCAAAATAAGCCCCGTATAAGTTCGAGCTCCAAGGTTAGCTAAAAACTCTTGGTGATAGCGTGCAAGAGATGGGTTCCCGTAGCTGACTGGTGTGCGATAGTGTGTTTACTTGAACTTCAGTACGGCATCATAATTCGAAGTTCCCGCTTGGTTCTCACGAACGAAATTAAATCCAAGGAGGTAAAGTGTACAAAAGCAACTACGGAAGGAAAAAAAGAACTTGTGGAGGCTACTTATGCCTGGTTGATGGAGGTATAATCCAGTCAGCTGTGTATTTAGTCGAAGTTGTAGCTCGCCTGCTACAAGTACCCCACAGCGGTTGTCTCCTACTCGGATAGTGGACCTAGCCACCAAACTCCGGGTTAGCGATTGAGGTAAGCACCTATATCAATTGTGAGGACTTCACAGTTTCTGCATAGTTACTTATGACCCGAGTGCTAGAGGAGGAAAGGATGCGTTCAACAGAACCATGAGGGCGTTTCAGATGAAAACAAATTTGCTAGACAGTATGTGGAAATTATAAAAGACAACCACCGGGAGAATTCTCCCAACTCATATAGCAAGTTAACTATAAGCATAGCCTTCTTGAATCAAAATCAAAGTGAAATTGAATGCTACTGACCAAGATTTGTTCACCTTATTGCTCAACTGCTTTGTATATGCAATTGTCTGAGACTGCAAAGTGAGATACGGCGTATCCACACGCTTCAGGACAAACGTGCATCATGCCACTTGAAATTCAGTGATCCAACTGGTGACTTGGCACCTCGCGTCAAGCGCGACAGGCGTTTCCTCCTACCGTTTAGGGCGTCCAAGTCGATCTAAGTGTCCAGATGGGTTACACCAGTTGGCACTTTTAGGAATACATTACCTAGAGCACTCTCCTCAAAATACCACTGCAGTGCATGTTTGCGTCAGAGAAGATCAGGCGGCAGCGTCAGAAGCAGTGTTTTGATGCGAAGTGCGGGGTAAACGAGTGTTGATGGATATGCTGGCTGCTAATAATGTCATTTTCATCACACACAAGAGTTTGTCAGTTTGATGGGATACAGCTAATTATTCAGTAGTCTAGTCGGACAAACGCAGCGAAGTATGTGACCGCAAGAGCGGTTTCCACGTGAACTCAGAACCACGATCGAAATCGATGAGTACAACCCAGCGGCCGCTGATAGTTGTCACATGACAAACTAGTGTGCTAAAAGCCAACGCAGTGGGCAGATGCTGACAGATGTAGTTGGGACCTGGTTAAATCACCTTCCACCATAAGGTGACCCGAAGGCAGCAGACAAAAAAGCCTTACACATATGGACAGTCATGAGCTGACAAGTTGAAAGTTTTTGGTGACTGGCATGCAGAGACTTGCTGGTGGTCGTCACAGTACAGTAACCGCCCAACCGGTGTTGAGACCACCTGCGCCATGTTGATGACTTGAAGGTCGTCGGATGAACGACAGTGCCATTGCTCTACTTCAAAGTGCGAGCAGTGACACGTTTACTTGCTGAATTGCGGATGACAGCTGGTTCATGCCGAGCGTAACCACATTGCGAGAAATGAATCTACCGCGCGGACAGTATGCAACATGGAGCTGGGATGTGCTGTCAGCAAAGCAGGAGGCATTTGGACACACAGCACTCCGGAACCAGCTGAGCCACAACATGAGTTTGTGAGGTCATTACACAGGGGCAACAGATGGCAGCTAAAATGACGACAGCTGGCCGTAAGCCCTCACTCTGCCCGAGCTACGCGCGTATAATGCTCGAATAATATTTGCATATTTCTTGGGCACAGCTAAACAGACTAGGCAGTTACAAAGGGCACACCGATCCATAGAATCGAACGCACCTTTGATATCGAGGAACAAGACAACGGTGGGCTGCCAATATATGTGACGGTGCTCTAACAACTGACGCAAAGTGAAGATCTGGTCAATGCAGCCACGACCTAGAGGAAACCCGGCTTGCTCTTCACGAATCTGGCTTTCACGAGTGCTAGTCAGTTTGTGAAGGATTACAGAGGCAAGTAACTTGAAGGCGATGGAGATCAGACTTACTGCTCTATCACTATCGCATTATGATCGTGAGCCTCCCTTTAAAATTGGGACTATGACGGAGCGGCTCCAGTCGTTTGGGACAGTTTCCTGACCCCACAGTTTCACTAGTAACTCGTGTAACTCATCCACAAGAGGAAGTTCCTCGAATTTGAAGATAAGTGGAGGAAGATCATCTGATCCCGCGGCTTTATTTAACCTCAACAGTTCGATCTCACGTTCGACTACTGAGCGAGAGGGTGGCTCCAAACGGACAGCCCAGGGAGCGGGATGATAAGTGGCCAGCGAGAAATCTAACACTTCCGACAGATTAAATTGCCTTTCAAAGTGCTCAGCCCTACGCTCCAAGCGTTTTGACAAGTTGTGGATAAGCTGTCCACAACTTGTCACGTATAGTTTCATTAACACCAGGCCTCCTGCTGCCCGTTTCCCGTATCAGACGGAATAACTTTCGATGGTTACCAAAGGGCAGCGGCCATTTCCATCTCTGATGCACGATGAAACCACCAGGATTCAGGCTAGCATGGAGTTTTGCCCGGAGTTTTCCACGCATCTCATTGTATTTGCTTCCAGCTGGAATATGCCGGCGAGCATCGATAACTTCCAGAGATTACGAAGAGATCCAATATACATGTTGGCGATTAGACTTACCACATGAGGGTTAGCCTGCTGCTAGTAAGGTCTGGTGAACATGAGACCAGTGAGCTTCAATTGTATCCAGTGCGCGCTTAGTTAACTCGGATGTCAGCGTAATTTGATAGGCATTCAGAACAGCAGGCCTCATCAGTTGTCTGGTGTCAATGCGATCACAAAGTCGTCGTGGGTGTCCGCCAAAACGCATCCGCATGTCAGCACATACAAGTGCATAGTTGGTGTCCACACATGTGCTCCAAATCGAGCGACAGTTCTGGACCTAGCCTCTCCATCGGTAACTTATCGCAATCTGATCGATTTGCGTCCATGACTGGTTCGAGGCTGGTTGGCACCAAATCCCCCTCCGCAACCAGAGTAGCTTCAGCCCGGGGACTCAGGGCAATACTTACACCGGCTTGGCCAGTGCACGAAGCTGCATCGTCATCGGATAGGCGAAATGAGAAAGTGCTGCTAGTGTCACCTGAAGGAGATCGTAATGTGAGCACAGAGCTCGAGTCTTGCAGGCGGATCTCCGATAAGCAATAGATATCGATCGAGAGGGTCTCTAATGTTCCGGCAAGTGCTACCTATTGACCGATCTGAAGCAATGTGGGTACATTGAGGTGTGCCAATATGAAGGAGGATCGTGTGCTCCAATTGGAAGCACATGAACT